TGGCTGCTCTAAATTTCCGATGTGTCGTCCTGCGCCTCGAGATGTCGTTGAAACGAGCATTTATATTTATATACAGAGGAAAAGGAAACTTTTTTTGAGTGCCCTTTTCTGAAAGATACAGCATATCGTCATCTCTGATTTAACAGGACTCAAACAACCCACCAATCCAATGTAATAAATAACTGTGTGTAAATTTTTTTGGACGGAAACATTTGAAAAGTGACAAGTGGGTGAGCTGCCAAAAGGGTCACCAAATTGAAAATAGGCGATGTTGAATAATGTAGAAAGTCAACAAGATATGGAATTTCAAGAGATGCTTCGATCTGAACCCGTGAAGGAGAGGGACGACAAATCGAACGAGCAGTGGGATTTTGCGTTTTAGCAGTGGCATTTTTCATCCCTTCTGACGTTTCCCATCGTGAATCAGAGCAATCCCATCACGAGCCTGCAGAAGCAGAACTTCTTTTGCCCTCATGATTGGGTTGCAATAAATTATACTTTCAATTTTTAACGTAAATAAATATTGTGTGCAACCCTCTTGGCTGATCACGAGTGCTAAGTTTTTCTATGGATCGAAGATGTGTACGTAGAGTAATGTTTAAATATATAGTGACAAGTGAACTTAAAATTTTCAAGCCAAAAAAATGATTAAAGTATCAAGAACGAGTACATGTTAAAATAATATAATAATCTATTATCATATTCGAATTCTTCCTCTCTAAACTCTTTCGTGATTGCAAGAAAATAATGGATCGTTAGGAAATTGGAAAAGTTATGGCTTGAATTACTCAAACAAAAGTCACGCAAATTGTGGCCAAAGTTTAATTAACTTGATTAAAATGGGACGATGGAGTTACGAGGGATGCTTTTGTGGGCGCCTGTCTCTTGTGAAGTGACAAAGGGAGGCGTGGAGATTCTAGACTGCATGTTCAAAACTTTGACAACCCAAAAAGATTTTGATTGCTTTGTTTTGACATATGGATCCCGTTTTCATTTGCATTTACCTCCGAAATGTGTAGTTTTCATTCGCCGACCTCCGATTTGGACAGTCTCTTGGACGTGCTTCACAAAGTCTCCAAAAAATTCATGCTCTAACTTGGGGGAAAACTTGAAATTTACTGATTTACGTAGCTGCATTACTATTAACTATAAACATTTGTTAATATTATCCCTCATTATTTAACTTTGACGAGAGTGATTAGTGAAAAGGCATTGTATCTGGAAAGTCGAGGCCTTTCTCAGACGGCACAAAGCACAACGTGGTAGGGACAAAGATGAAGGTGAAGGTAGTTGTCAAATCGAGGAAGCCCAATAGAAAGACATTACCCTCTGAAATTTAGGTGAATCCAATCAAAAACACCATTCAAATTCTTCAAACCAATATTCAAACCGTCCGAATTTTCTCAACCTTCCCCAACTGGCAATCGCTGATTTTTTTTTTGTCCCCATCCCACAACACAACTCACCCAAGGGATGAAGAATCGAAATATGGTTTGTAAGTTGTGTTTCACACATCTCAAATAATTTCTCTTAAATCGGCACCAATTAAATGCGACCATGTAGCCTCGGTATCCACACGTTCAAAAAGTCAAAACTTGCCGTCGGTTTGCACGTGAATAAATGAAATTTTGTTCCTTCATCCTTGGCAAGTAACGTAAACGTGAGGCGTATTGTTTAATCTAGTAACAAAATGTCAATGTCCAACAGCAACAAWACTTTCGCCGTAAAACCCATTTCAATATTCCACCAATTTTTTCACGAGTATTTGAAAAACTTGAATATTGGAAGGCAGAGGAACAGAGTCAAATAAAAACACCGTCCTCAGAATCCAAAATCAACCGACCCCTCCCCTTATATATATATATATCTCTAAAATTCTCCAACGAAACACTGCAAATCAGCAGCTTAAGAGGAGAGCGATGGCAATGGCCACAGAATCAACCAAGCATCTCTGTTTTCTTGTGGGTGTTCTGTTAATGGTGGCTTCGACGCAGATGCTAACTGTTGAGGGCAGAATTCTAAAGCCAATCGGAGAGAAGCCAATTGGAGTAGCTTTTATCCACCAAGTGAATTCATTAAGCAGCAGAAGTAGCAGTGCTTTTAGAAGCTTGAGTTTTGTGTTGGCGTCTGGGCCTAGTAAAAAAGGCCCCGGACATTGACAATTTTTTGCCTCTTTCTTCTTTTTGTGTATAATTCTGCACAAGATTGGCGCTTTTGTTGTAGTTTTTTTTAGGGAGGGAGATTTTGTTTCTTCTTTGTTCGGACAATGAGTTCTATTCTGTAGTTGGGTTATTTTGTTTTTCGATTTTCCTGTCCATGAACAACGGAAATTTTCTTTCTTTTTTCAACTACACGAGCGAAAACAGAGAGATTGAATGTGTGTTTTGTTTTCTTCCAACCATGGCTCATGAATCCAATGGCATCGGACTGAGTACTGACTGAAAAAACTTGAACTTTTACCATCGGAATTTGACAGCAAAGGAAGGACCAGAAGACAAGCGAGGAATTGCGGAAATATGTCTCTCTTTTTCGCATTTGAAAAAAAAAAAAAAGAATATTTACCATATTTTCGTTCTGATTGTTTTTAGTGGCTCCTCTATCTAGGGCTAAAAAACTGATTAGCTGCTTCAACGAGAAAACCAAAGTGGAATCGGATGTGGAAATCGAGGTTTTTGATTTGAATATGTTTCCGTTTTTATCATTTTTAGGTTACGGTTCCCTGTTTTGTGTAGTTAGTGTTTGGTGTCTTAAAACTCTCAACTTCATTTTGTGATTTGATTTTTTAAAATAATAATATATGTCTTTTGCTATTCAACTATGCTGAATTTGTAAATTAAAAATCTTTTGGAGTTGGGTTAAATCTGTCTATATTGTTAAGATATATTTGTGTACGTTCAAATTTTAACGAAAGTTGGAATGTTAAAATCTTGAAAAGTTAAAATGAAAAGTAAATATTTAAAATTGAAATTACAAAACCAGAGTAAGTCAAATTCAAAGACTGAAATACATTTAAACCAATAACAAAATTTTAGTAGGAATCACCTACTTAGGATGCAGAAAAGAAATAAGAGAGAAGGAAGATTTTGTTAAAAAAAAAAAAAAATAATTAAATTAAATATCTACCAAATTGTTTGTAGTAGCCAATAAGAAGGGTTGGGAATCAGTAAGAAAAGGAAACAGGTTACTTGCTGAACTTTGCATATTTATACACAAAGTTGCCCCAATCTCAATGTCATAATCTTGTAATCAAGAACCTACTTCAGTATGTATCACCGACCAAAAGATCTGTAAAATGCCCCATAAAAAGTCCAACTTTCGTGTTGCATCATCTGTGATGGAACATTCAAAATTCTCTAACCAAATACTTTCAATAACTATAATAATTAATAACTCAAATTCTCTAACCAAATACTTTCAATAACTATAATGATTGAGTATCAATTACTGCTGAAGTGTTAGCAACTATTGTGCAATTAATTTTGCAAAACTTGGACTTTACATAATACTCATTGCACCACCACTCTTCCAACCTGCATAAATCCACAAGGAATCGAGGAAATTATATTTTGGTTACCTAAAGGCTCCGGCAGAAGCAAAACTTGTCCACCCTGATTTTGGACCATTAGTTTCTTTCTACACTAAGTTCATATAAAGCATGAGAACAATTAATAAAACAATCGATACATTCTCATAAATTCTGTCCGGCCGATTTCTTTTAGACAGACAAAATAAGCCCTACGAGCGTGCGTGTCAAAATGAAGCCAAGTTCCTCATAAGTATCATATCAACACATTACAGATTTTCCAACTGTTGGGGGCTACGGTATCTATTATGAAATCTATCGACTATATAGAGCTCAGGAACTTTGAAACTAAAGAAATTTATGTCTTCCAGTAAATCATTGTACAACATAATACAAATCTAGGAAACTTAGACATAAAGATAATACCTCATATGAATCATAAACATAGACAAGCAGGCAGACATCTGTAAAAATTAATTAATGAACAAATCACCAAGTCGAAATCAAGTAACCTACAAAGTCTATTGAAGCATGGCCATACACAAGTCTTACAGCACAGGGAACAACAATTCATGGTCTCCATATCTTGGATAAGGAAAAAGAACATCAAGGAAACACAAAGTACTGATTTCCATATATAGACAGGAATATGGCTATAAGGAGGGAAAAGAAAGAAAAAGATGAAAGTGAAGCAAAAAGAATGAGAAGTTACAAAGGAAAAACGGAAATCACTAGATATAAGAAAGTACAAATATTGAACAGATTATCAAGCAACCTAGCAAACTTGGTACGTGCCACTGTGTTCCAAAAGTGTTACCACGATTTGTTAACAGACATAGTAATTGTGCAGAGCTAACGCTATTTTCTCAGTCAAGGAGGAAACTCCAGCAAAGGTTTACAACTACAAAAAAAAAAATCCTGAACAAAATCTCACCCGAAACAACAAACAACTTGCGGTTATGTTCGAAACGGTGAGCTAGCCTTGCCACAACTTACCATATATAAGAATGCATCATAACAATTTGGTCATAAAACACAAACACATGGTATAAATACAGAGAAAGAGAGATCATTATGAAACATTAGATGAGACCCATGAAATCTAAATTATCAACACGACAAAGCGTGTCAATTTGGGATATGAGACAGAAATAGAAGTTATAGAATCTTGAACAAGCAACTCAATGCGTGCATTCTCAAAGATGTATTTTCACCAGGGGTTCACCATCGGGTTAGAAGGTGCTTAAAAGCCACTTCCATCTCTGTAGTCTCTTCCAGTGCCCCACAGTTGATTATAATGCAAATGTACTGCAACTAGAGTCCTATATCTATTAGCCTACAATACTTATAGAACCATAGCCCGAGCAAACCCAAACAAAAATCCTATTAGTGAAGATTAGACATTAAGCGAAGGATGATAAAGAGTCAGCCACGAAAGATGCTTAGGAATAGAGGAACATGAATAAGCCTATGTTAGGAAACCACGACTTTCAGATCGCAAAGAACAGAAGATTGATGGAAAAGCAAAAACACGTTGAGATGTGAGGCAGGGGACCTAGACGTTCAAATTAAAAGGTAATGATTCTCATGTAAGCATCAGAAATTGATAAGCAGTACAAACAGATCCCGATATTAGAAACCCTGGTGAAGCATCCGGAAAACCTAATTCATATTCTACTGGGACTCAATCCTAGACGAATCAGGATTCTTCAACAGAGGGGGTTTCCTCCTTAATGGTCGCCGATGCAGCAGGAGAAGACGAACCGTTTTCGGCTGTGGAATCGGGTGCCGCTTTCGCCTTGACTGTCTCGAGCGTGCGCTTGCTGATCTCCCTAGAATATAGCTGAAGGATCTCGATCCCGTCGTCGTCGGCGTTGGCTTTAGATGCGGCGAAAGAATAAGCTTCCTCCTCTATAAGACGCGCTGCTTCAGCGGCCTCATCTTGGGGTACAGTGCCATAGCGCTTGGAGAGAACGGAGGGGTTCGAGAGCGTCTCGATCAGACGTTTGACGACAGCGTCACGAGTGCGTTGGGAAGGCGGCCAAATACTGAACGAGGCGCTAAAGGATTTCGGCGATTTGGTTAGCTCCTTGGCCTGATCTCCAGGGGAATCCGTTGCGGCTTTCGACGGTGGAGAAGTTGGCACGGCGGCGATCTCAGGCTCAGACATTTTGAAAAGGAAAAAAAGTAAGGAGGTTCAGATTTGGGAGTCGATTGAGAAGGCTCGCTTAAGAAGAATGAGAAGGGAGATTATTGCGGTGGGCAATAAACAACGGAGCACCGAGAGAAATTATCGGAAATGATAAAGTCCCGAGAATCCGACGGTGGAAATAATTTGCTGTTTTTTGTTTTTCGTAATAGTTATGAATTTTCTAGAGCTGTCATCAATGGTTTCGTTGGGAGTTTGAATTTGGAACTCCACGGTCCATCGAGTCACGTGAGTTTTGATTTATTATTTATTTTCTTTTTACGTTACCTTATGGACTCACCTTTCGCTGGGCCGGAGGGAAAGGTCCAAACTTTACGAGCTTCGGTCGAACTTGGACATTATTAACTACTAAACTTTTGGCCCATGAACTAATCTATCTATAAACCTAATTTAATGGGCCAAATTTGGATCATGTTTGGATTGGATTTTGTATTGAAGTTTGATTTATATAATAAATTATTTTTTTAATACTTCTTTAAACCAAACTTTTTTGAGTTTTGAAATTTATATTTATATATTTTATTCTTTTGTACAACTTTTGTTATTTTTAAAAAATCTACGAAGAAATTTTGTTAATCCTCGTTGTATTTTGGTTATCTTTTAAAAGTTATGTTTACACTTTATACTATGATAAAGAAAATATCTAACAAAGAGAAACTGTTTACCTAAACTCATTGTCAAGTTAAAAAGGAAAAAACAAGGTTAATAGGATAATAAGAGAGATCATTCATGAGACTTGATAAATTATAGAAACTAAATTCAAACAAAATCCAAATTACAGTGATTTCATTAAAACATTTAAAACTAACCAACCAAATTGAAACTATACTCAAGTTATAAGAACAAAATGAATGTGTAATTGAATTTTATTGTTGGTGTTGTTTTTTTAGTTCAAAGTTCAAACAACTTAGTAAACTATTTTAAAATAGAATGTTTTGCAATAATACATAAGTAATCTTAGAAAAATTCAAAACCGCTTTAAGCGATTCCCAGTCAATTACTTGGAGGGTGATTATCCAAGTAATTTTTTACCAAAAAATTTAATATAAAATTAATTTTTAAAATAGTTATTGTTTTAATTTTAAAAATGGTCTTTTTTGTTCACCTTATTTTCACCTTAATTGTTGAGAAAATTTTTTCTCTTTTCTAAATTTTTTTTGTCCCTCTCTAACTTTATTTTTCCTTAATTTTATTTATTATCTCTATTTTTTCTCTAAAAATTTTGTATGCTCTCTCTAAATTTTTAATTTTCATCTCTTTCTAAAGTTATTTTGTCTAAAATTTTTATCTCTCACCGTCTAAAATCTCTCTCTCTCAAATTTTTGTTTCTAAAAATTTTGTCAAATTCTATATTTAAACTCTAAATATTAACTATTCAAAATTATTTTAATTATATAAAAATCACTTTAAAAGTGTATAAGAAACGTTAAAATAATTATATAAAAATCACTTCCTCAAAATCAATTATCATCAAAACTCTTTTGCTAAAATCACTCATTCTAAAATCAATCTCAAACCTACCTTAAGGTAGACCAGGTGACAACTATTTGATGAAAATTGGATTCAAAATGACTATTAAGACTATAAGGGCTTTTATTTTAGGAATAAGGCCTAGTTTACTTGCAATGAATTGGGATCGTAACGCTATTTCTTTAACGTTGTTTACTATAAATTTTATATAATCCATATCAGAAATCCATTGATGTTGTTTACTAAAACTATTTTGAATCATAATATAAATTAGATATAGAATAATTAATATTTTAATAACAAATTATATTGATATTAATTAATAATAATAATAAAGTAAAATAAAATGGAAATTTATAATATTATATAATAAAATCAATTTTTTTTAGTACAACAAGTGGGGTAGGGAAATTCGAAGTAAGAACCTCTTGCCCAGCGATAGATACTATTTCTATTTATGGTGGAGCTAAAGCTTATTTTGGCGTAATAAAATCAGTTAACTATGAAAGGTTAGTATAATTTTTCAATGAGACGTACCATCAAAGTATAATTCCTTGATTTCCATTATGAAACTGAAAACTTGAACAAAAGATTGAGAGAGTTTGAGTTTAAAAAGATCGTGGGAGAGAATAGATTACGTTTTTGGCATCGTGATTCGGTTCCTTCAAGTTCAAACAAAGTATGTTTAAATAGTAGGGATTATTATATTTTATTTACTTCCAATTTTTCTATCTCTGCTTTAGAGTTGATTAGTGATTTTGAAAAAAGAGATTTATGTATAATTAATTTTTCAAAATAATACTTTAAAAATCGATTTTATATWTTTTTTTAAAATCAATTTTTTTAATTTACAAAACATGATTCACAGAAATAGAAGTGATTTTGATAATGTCAAAAATGATTTTATCACGCCAAAATCACTCCAAAACACACTTGAAAACTACGTTATTTTCGCTTTCGGTCTAACTCCCAACGCTCACTCAACCCTCTTTTCMATCAAACCGGCCGTCTCAAAATTGGAAAAAGAATAGTCCCTGGATTCGACTCTCTAGTTTGAAAAATATATTGGACTTGGTGGCACCAAAATATCTTACAACTCCAAAAGATATAATCCCCATTTTCGGTCCGGTATGGATACTGCGTGTCCTTCTTTACTTCTTGTTAAGCCTACAGCTTTTATAGAAAATTTCAAACGGAAAAAAAAAGAAGTTTATGCCACCCAAGCAAAATTTACCCAAAATATTCTCTCAAAACAAGTATCATTCAATTAATTAGAACTAGTATACCAATATTTTAATTGGGATTAATAAAATTCAAAGATATGAACCTGAACTGCGAGCACATCTTCTTTTTGTGCTTTTTCGATGCGGGACAATTTGTCTTTCTAATATTTTGCCATAATCCAACATTTAGTTGTTCTTGCGATCTAACATAAAACTCAAGTACTTAAAATTTTTTCGTAGTACTAAAAATTTGTATGCTTATCGATTAGAAGATATCTTTTTATTTATCATTATTAAAAATTTGACAACCATTTATTCTATTTTATCTCTTTTCTTTTATGCATTCATTTCTTTTAGTTATCAATTTTTTAATAATAATAATTACCTATAATACTTAAATTTTATCGTGTTATAAATATGAGGATAGGAGAAAATATTCACAATAAATAATTAATTAAAAAACGGATGGTTTTTTCTATTTGAGATTATTTATCCACCTATAAAGATCAGAGAAATAATTAAATCTATTATCAATCTATATAAAGGTCACAAAAAAAAATTGATTACACATTTTTAATTTTC